CCTCCTATTCCCATCCTCCTCCTCCCCCTTCCCCCCCCTTCCAACCTGTCTTAGCAGCTCCTCCTCCTCCGTCTCCTCTTGCTGCCCCCTCCCCGCTTCGTGTCCTCCTCCTCCTTATCCCCTCCCTCCTCGCTCTTTTCTCTCTCCCACCCTTCCCCCATCCTACTCCTCCTCCTCTTCCCACTCCCTCCCCCCCATCCCGTTCCTCTACCTTCCTCCCTCCTCCACCCCCTTCTTCCTCCTCCTCTTCCTCCCTCCTCCTCCTCCTCCTCCTCCCTCCCTCCCTCCCTCCCTCCCTCCCTCCCTCCCTCCCTCCCTCCCTCCTCCTCCTCCTCCTCCCCTCCTCCTCCTCCTCCTCCTCCTCCTCCTCCTCCTCCTCCTCCTCCTACTCCTCCTCCTCCCCCTCCTCCTCCCTCCATCTAACCTGTCTTCCTCGCAGCATCCCAGACGCTCAGTACACGTCTTTGCTCTGGTTTCTTGGCCTGTGACCTTGGCGGGCATCCCACACCCACCGAGTAAAGGCCCAACTCACAACTCATATTTTTCTTCTTCTTCTCTTTCTTCCTTTTTTCCCTCCATTTCTTCATCTCTGGACCGTTATCATATCTGGTAAATGACCTGACTGTCCAGTCCTGGGCGGTGCGGCCCTCTGAAGGCAGTCTCTGATCTTTCTCCATCATTTTGGTCAATTTCTCGAGAGATAAAGATAGACAGATACAGACAGATGCATAGGAAAAAAGGCAGAGAGAGAGAGGCAGACAGACAGACAGACAGAAAGACAGGCAGAGAGGGAGGATAGGAGAGAGAGAGAGAAAGATGAAAATAACACAATTCCTCAAAAATGTAAAAATGTTGAAGTGGTGATTCCATTATCTTTTACTTGTGTTCCTCTATTCTACTACCAGTTCAATCACATTTTGATTAATAAAATCTCCCCGCTCTTGACATTATCGCTGATTGAACTGTTCTACAAAAAAGAATATATATATTTTTTTAAATCTAACACTGACAACCTTTAGCAGTTCTAAAAATAAAAATATAAAAAATAAAAAATACTAATTCTATCCCATGTACTTCAGAGATGACATTTATACAAAGTTTATAGTTTATCATATCGTATATTCATCTTCCAAGGATAGGTTGACAGAAAACAATTCACAAACGAACCAAGCTTCGAGTTTAACCTTAGTTAATACTATTTCTCTTCCCTCAGTCTTGAAGAAGAAGAAAAAATCTTTTCTCTTTGTCTAAAATACAAAGAAATATATCAAAAGGAATAAAATATATGTGCACACATCTCCTTCTATCTCCTCAGTCGAGGTGAATAAACTCTTCGCTACTTCAGACAATGTTTACCTTTCTGAAAAGTATATTTTCCATATTATGTAAGGTCATAAAAGGTCACAGGTCACAAGAGTAATCGGTCATTTGACGTCATTCCTCCGCAAGGCCCGAACATTTATCATCGCTTCCTTGACGAAATTTCAATTATTATGAAATCAGTCATGTTTCCCATGTTACATAATATCACAAGGAGTGTCTGTCAATTTATGTCATTCGTCCCCAAAGCTAGATGTCTCTCATCGTGTCCTTAACGGAATTTTAGTTATTAAGAAATCTGTTGTTTTTTTTATCAGTAGATTGATTTCCTTAAGTTATTAAGATAGTCGTTTTTCTTTAGTTTGTTAGGCGATTTATTTCCTTTGAATTCTCCAAAGAAATTCATTTCTCATAGATTATATAGATTATTCATTTCCTCTCAATTGTTAAGAGATTCAGTTCCTTTTAACTATCAAGATATTCATTTTCTTTAATTAGTATGATGTATCTTACGTTTTAGTTACGAAAATGTTCCTTTAGTTTTATTTCTGAAAATGCAACTAAACATTAACTCTATAAATGCATTATCTCGAAGTAGCAAGTATAAATAACGTTTATCTACAAAAAGTACCTTGTCACTGACTATCAAATGTACCATACTTTTATTGATCAAGACGCATCTTATATATATATATGTGTGTGTGTGTGTGTGTGTGTGTGTGTGTGTGTGTGTGTGTGTGTGTGTGTGTGTGTGTGTGTGTGTGTGTGTGTGTGTGTGTGTGTGCCCTTTCTTATCTATCAAAATACTCTTTACATTCAAGTATCTTTAAGTAACTTTATTCAAATACTAGAACGTACCTTATCTATGATCATGAGCACGTACGTTGCCTTGAGGTTCCAACACGTATCTTGAAATAAACTATCAATTGGATTTTACCTTGAAATACCGGTGCGTAATTACATCTAATCCTATAAAGAAACATATTCATTAACTTGCTAACTACACTTAAGACCCAATAATTATCACTACGTGCCTTGCTGTCAGAATGTGCAGCTTTTTCGTCAAATGTATCAGAATATACTCTCTCTCTCTCTCTCTCTCTCTCTCTCTCTCTCTCTCTCTCTCTCTCTCTCTCTCTCTCTCTCTCTCTCTCTCCTCTCTCTCTCCTCCCTCCCTCCTCTCTCCTCTCTCCCTCTCTCTCTCTCTCCCTCTCTCTCTCTCTCCCTCTCTCTCTCTCTCCCTCTCTCCCTCTCTCCCTCTCCCTCTCCCTCTGTGAGTGTGTGTGTGTGTGTGTCTGTATCTTTATACACACACAAGAATATATTCACGGCACAAACTACGCTGACTTGACCATAGCCAACTTCTCTTTTAGAGAACGCTTGGACTTGGTATCTTAGTAAAGTTTTTTGAAAGTCATGTAAGATATGCGCACCTCGCCTCAAAGCTGAACATGGCGACAAAGCTAACTTCCAAACTGTTCTAACTTTGGCCTCAATACGTTGGGAAAATTTTGAGGAATTCTCAACATTCTGTCTTGGTTCCCACTTGGTAAGCTATCCTTAATTCCAGAGCCTGTTTTGCACTAAACCATAGATCTATTACTATTTATTTACTTCCCTTTATGTGATTCCGGTCTTATTAAAATAAACCGTAACTTAAAATACACAGATATCCACGTTGGTTGTAGTCAAACCTAGCCTACCTTCCGAGTGGTTACGTTTATTAGACTCTGCATTATCGAAACAAAACTACCTGTCTGGCTTATGCAATGGACAGACGGGTGATACATCATTCACTGATAACTACTGCTTGCGTCCCTCGAAGTTTGCTTTGCTTTGTAAGGAAGCGCTACACACTTATGTAGAAGGTAGATGCAGTGGCATGCGAAAGTTATTTAAGCTGTTTGAAGACTTGGTAGTCATTTCCTAAGTATCCTCATTTCAATTATTATAATTTGATTGTTCACTTTGTCAGTTGGAAAGTTTATGCAATATACCTCATAGATATTCATTAACTTGTTTGAGTTGTTAAAAAAGGTTGACTCGGGATAATTTGGCCCAGATTTTTTTCAATCATAAAGTAGTGAATGTAGGTAGACAGTGTGTGCACACATACATAATGTGCACATTCACCATATACATTGTGTGTATATATATACATGCATATACATACGTGCGTGTATGTATGTATATGTGTGTGTGTGTGTGTGTGTGTGTGTGTGTGTGTGTGTGTGTGTGTGTGTGTGTGTGTGTGTGTGTGTGTGTGTGAGTGTGTGTGCGCGCGTCTAAAGATGGACAGATACATGTATATACATATACGCCGGAGTGGCTTTATGGAGCAAGTAGCGCGAGTTGCACTCACACACACACACCTTGAGTTCAGGAATTGCAAGAAGAGAAAAAAAAAACTCCCAACACGGCAACAATGCTTGGATAAAAAGTTGTGTGATTTTTAAACAATTTTACGTTAAGATTTAAACAACGGTATGCATATACTACAATCTAATTCAACATTTTTGTTTGTTTATATGTTTTAGCAACGTCGAGATTCGTATTTTCCGTAGCAATATGTGAATCTGCATGTATAAGCATAATAATATTATCAATGATACTTAATCAAAATTTATCTAATGACTCGAAAAATATAGTGATTTCTGTAACTAGTTTAGTGTTTGTATATTAACCTTTTTATTGGCCAAGATTATTCCTAGTTCTCCAGAATTGATATTTACCCCATGACTCAAAAAACGGCGCTTTCTGTAACTATTTTTCTGTCTTTAAATTAGCCTTTCATTGGTCAAGATCCCAAGTCTCCTTACCTCATGACTTAAAAAAAACACTTTCTGTGATTATTTTATTGTGTATATGAGCTTATTGGCCAAAATTATTCCGAGTTTTAAAGAATTAATATTTACTTAATGACTCGAAAAATGCAACACTTTCTGTAACTATCTTAGTGTATAATTGTCTCTTGTTCAATATTATTCTTAGGTTGTCACAATTAATATTCACCTCATAACCTCAAAATAAAGTAACTTACTGTCTGTATAATTGTCTTTTTATTAGCCAGTCATTGGTCAAGATCCCTAGTTCACTAGAATTCATAACTACCTCATGACTCGAAAAAGACAGAATTCATTGTTAGTATTTTATGTCTGTATATTAGCCTCTCCTTGGACAAAATTATTCTTATTTTTCCGCAATTAATATTAATTAATATAATTAATATTGCCTCATGACTCGGGAAAAAAAACATTTTCTGTAACGATCTCAGTGTCTGTATCAAAATGTCTCGTTGTGTATATGAATTCTTCGCTCATTACCGAAGCGCTTCTCTCTATCTGAGTTCATAGACGAATTAAACATTTTTTCTCTCAAATTTTTCTGTGGGTTTCGCGGGTATTTTGCAAGAAGCATGTGGGTGGTATGGTTGTATCAGAGTCGAAAATGGTAGACAAAGTAGATAAAACTTCATAGATGTCGAGCAAATTGGGATATTTCGAAAGCTACTGATATTTTTTACTAGCTAACCGAATCAAAATAGGCCTAGGTAAGGTTTAAAAAATACTATTGATGTAACACAACGTTCATACTTGTCCAAAGTACAGGGTAATAAAAAAAAAGTTTCGCATATTTTTGTGGTTTATTTGGTTCATGTTATCTGTGATATCAAAAACTTT